TAACACCCTCTCTCGGCCACCCTCACAGGTTTCCCCTTCGAAATATGAAGCCACCACTACACATCACCTGCAGCTTCATGGTAAAGTGTCAGCTGATCTGCGTGTCTCACACTATGGTGACGACCCGTTTTGGGGTCCACTAGAACAAAGTCATTCTGTTCTACACGTCTCACTGCCCGAAAGGAACCGGAACACCGGAGTGCAAGCTTCGAGGAGAAGCCCTTGGTGGCATCGCTGAGGGAGTGGCTTTCGAGCAGAAAAAGATCACCCTCCTGCATTGTAGCGAGTCTAGAAAAAGATCACTCTCCAGCTGTGCTAATCGTAGCGAGTCTTTTGGACGCGTCACATGTGGTCCTGGTGTGCCCTGAAGAAGTCAAGCACCTTCTGCAGACACTTGGAGACCTCAGTAGCAAATGCACGGTACGCTGTCGCAGGAGTCTCCGCGTCGTCTTTGGCTTCAGCCTGTGTCAATGGGGTTCTCAGCTCCCGGCCATAACAGAGGAAGGCAGGCGCGTAGCCCGTGACAACGCTTTCAGCCATGCGCATGGCCAGGGAAATTTCAGGGATGTGCTGGTCCCAGTCTTTGTGGTTGGGACAATAAGCCCTAAGGCACTGCTTGATAGTGCCATTGTGGCACTGCACCATTTGCCCGGCAAGGCGGTACAGAACAGTGTGTCGGTCTTGTAGTGCTCAAGGAGGCCCAGTGCTCAAGGAGGCCCTTCCAACCCCTGCTAACAAAGGGCTTTCTATTATCACTTGAAATGGAGACAGGTGTGCCATGCCTGCAAAAAACCTGGATCATGCAGGCCACCACACTTTTGCAGTTTGCTGCTCGTAATGGGAAAACTTCAATAAACTTGTCAATCACCACGAGAAGGCACTGGTGGCGTTGATGCATCATAGGCAAGGGCCCAATTATGTCCACACTGAGCTGTTCTATGGGGGCAGTGACCCATCGGCTGCTCATCAGCCCTTCTGGCGGTGGGCCTTGGTGCGCTGACAAACCTGGCAGCATCGCACATACTTGGATATGACCGCGCGCATACCCAGCCACACGAAATTCTGAGAAATGCGTTTAAGGGTCTTAAAAAAGCCGGAGTGGCCGCTAATTGGGTGGTCATTGGACAGTCGTACGACCAAGTTGCAGAGATAGTTTGGTAGCCAAGGTACTTCTCTGTTCCTTCGGTGCTGTACAAGCAACCCACTCCTTTCCATCTCGGTCGTCTCCGCCAGGTCTTTAAACAAAGGATGATCACTGTCAGTGGGCGCAAGCTTCCCTCCTTTCATCACAGTTCGTAGTTTCGACAGTATGAGGTCCTGCTCTTGTTCCTGGGCGAGGAGCCCTGCATCATTCAAGACAGTATGGTCGTCACCTTCAGATGCTACAGCAACTGCCTCAAAGCCGATTTGTGGGCTGGGCTATGGAACACCAATAGAGAACAGCGTCTCGTGTAGACTCGGGCCTTGAGCTTCCTGGTGCTGAAGGGGAGCTCTGCTCAAGGCGTCGGCTGGCACATTTGCAAGACCCCGCCTATGCTTGATTTTGCAGTTGAAACCTTCCAGCCGCGAAACCTGAAGCTTTACACGTGGTGAGGCCTGGTCTATGGTGAACATCCAGGACATAGAGGAGTGATCACAGTGTATCTCAAACTCGGTGAACTCAAAGTATGGCCGGCACTTGTCCACTGCCCACACCACAGCCAGACACTCCCATTCTTTCACTGTATAGCGCTGCTCTGCTTCAGTGAGAACCCTGCTAATGAGGCTTATTGGACGCAGTGGAGCATCACTTTCAGCTGCCTACAGAAGCACCGCTGCAATGCTAACTCCTCTGGCGTCCGTTTCCATCACGTATGGTCTGTTGAGGTCCGGCAGGTTTACAATGACATCATCGGCCAGAGACTGCTTAAGTGCTCTAAAGGCTTCCTTTTGCTGCAGCTCCCACCGCCAACGTTGGTTTTTCTTAAGGAGTTCTGTGAGTGGACGCGCAGTGATAGAAAACTCAGGTATGAACCCTCTGTAATAGCCTGCTAGTCCTAGGAAGGCCTGCAGCTGTTTGAGTGTTGTTCGTTGAAGATAGTCCAGCACCGCACGCACTTTTTCCTTGTTGGGCTTACACTGCCCGGGTGATATTTCATGACCAAGGAACATCAGGTATTGACAGCACACGTGCACTTTCTCTAGATTAATGGTCAGCTGTGCCGAACTACTTACCCTCTTCAACACCTCCCGAACATGCTCGAGATGATTCTCTAGGGTTTCCGAATACACCAGGACATTATCGAGAAACGCCATGGAAAACTGGTGATTGATTCCTCACAGTAGTCGGTCCATCAGGGTCTGGAACGTGGCAGGACCTCCGGCAACTCCAAAGGGCATTCCCATAAACTTGAAGGTTCCCCGATGGGAAATGAATGCTGTCTTTGGAATGTCCTGCTCTTGAACAGGGATTTGAAAAAAACCTGTTAAAGATCAAAACTTGAGAACCACCTGCCTCGTCTCAGCTGTGCCAGCAACTAATCAGTCCTGAGCATGGGGTAGATTGGCACCTTAGTGCGTGCATTCAGCTGGCGGTAATCCACAGCCATGCGGTAGCCACCAGACTTCTTCTTTACCAGGACTGGAGCACTGGCATGCTGACTTTGGCTAGGGCGGATGAGGTTCTGTGCCAGCAGGTCATGAATGCAGTTGTCCATGATAGCCTGCTTCTTGGCATTCACTAATCGCAGTTTGAATCGAACAGGTGGGTTGTCTCCCGTGTCTATGCGATGCTCTGCCAGGGTTGTGAGCCCGGAGTGGTGGTGAAGATTTTACTAAACTCTTCTAAAACACGTTTCATGCGTGGGTCTAGGTCCAACGAGTGGCCGGGAATGATCACATTGCAGGCTGCAGTCACCTCCCGCACACTGGCACACACATTGGCATTGCCCTCGGTAAAAATGCAGCGCAGACTGTCTCCAAAATCATCCACTGCCTCTGGCTGTTCCTTAACGGCCTTGACAAAGGGCACAATTTTTTGTGGTGCTGTGCCGACAGTCCAGCCACCACATGACACGTGCAGAGAGATGCCACTCACCGTCAGGAAATCACTACCAAGGACGTCACGGCACAGGTCAGGAACGCACAAAAACTGCTGCCTGCGGCAACCGACAGCCCATTTGATCTGACACGTTAGAGACATGATTGACTGCGGCCAGCCTGATGACAAACGCAGCATGCGTACATCCGCCTTGGTTTTGCCTCCAGAAGCTTGGTTGCCGCCGCCGCGTGCGGTACGAAGAAGCTTACACTTGAGCCTGTGTCTAGCAGGGCCTTGAACGCCGACGACCCGATACGAACGTCCATAAGGGGCTCTTTGCTACAGGCTGTGGTCGCTAGTTGGTGCACACTGCCGTAGGTGCCCGCCAGGGCAGCAGCTACCGCCACTGGTTTCCCGGCACTCTGCTTGCAGGTGACCCGACCGCCCAGCACCCCCTCACTACATGAGAGCAGTACATGATGGTACCATCATTTAGTGCCCTCTCTCGGCCATGTCCAGATGATGATGATGATGCCGTCATGTAACGCCCTCTCTCGGCCACCCTGACAAGTTCATAATGAACAGTCGCTGCAACATGCTCTTGATACTTTCCATCATGTCGGCATTATCTCCGCTGCAAGGATAAACTTTTCTAAATGCCAGTATTTATTGGCAACCCCAATGGTCGTATCAGCATCAGGTCGCCTTTACAGTGGTATCCTAGCATTACAATACTAGGCGTTACTTTCCCTACATTTGGTGTACAGGACAGCATCTTGTCATTCATCGTACGAACTCTTTATTGTAACGTTAAAGAAGCCAGACACTTCGATTGCCCCCTCCTGGAACACCGATACCTAGCTCAAAAAGTTTACCTCGGAAAATTTTGGTACCTTTGCCATTCTGTATGACCACCGCTCCACGTGTCTAAGGAAGGGCAAAGCTGCATCAATTCATTTTTTGGTTTGATGGCACAGAATTGTTATCTCGTCCATAGTTAGCACAATCGCGAGATAAAGGCGGTTTTGCATTCCTCTACGTTTTTGCCACGGCTTCTACCTTGTGCCTCCGCACTTTACTGCAAATACTGAGCAACGATGGTACGCCGGCTCATACACTGGCTTGCTACCATCTGGGCCCATAACTATGCGTCTTCCTACCGGCTATCCAAATTAACCAAGGTTCCCAATCAACTGAATTACCATCTTTGTATTGAGCCCTTCTGGCATTTCACCGACGTATGGAAGCTACGTGCCCAGAGATAGAGGTGGCCGATTCTAAAGTGGTGAACACAATGGCCGCCCTTCCACGGCCCTTGGTGCCCCAGCATCGTCAATCTATAATGAACCATGCTTGGAAACCAATAACTGCAGCAGTGTTGCCAGGGCATCTCAGAGACTTTGTCTGGCGTTTGGGCTGGAGTTTGCTCACCACGCGATATCGGTTGCAACGGTGGCAGGTGGTTCGCACCAACGTTTCTTCGCACTTCCACTTGCCCCAACTGCGGCATTGGTCGTGCCCTTTGGTCAAGGTATAATAAAGGTAATGTCTTCACTGCAAAATAGTGATGTTGGTCGTGATACATAGATGTGCCGAAGTGTATGTGCCCTGTTACTGGAATGTTATGAAGCTTTTGTGTTCTGCACATACTGTAAATAATTTTTTTCTACACAGGAAGATTCATCTTTAAAATGAATCGCTGAAACAGGTCTTGAATGAGCTCTGAAAATCCTACCTGTATAATAATAACTATTTCATGTATAATTCAGCAGAAAAACTTGTTATTGAATGATAGGCACAGTGAAAAGCAATCCATGTATAATTCAGCAGAAAAACTTGCTATTATTTGATCAGTAGACAGACAGACAGACAGACAGACAGACAGACAGACAGACAGACAGACAGACAGACAGACAGGATAGATAGATAATTTTCATCGATAGTTGAGTAAAGAGTAAACCAGAGCAGCAATGAATCTTACACTGCCCCGCGGAGCGAGAATTGTGACGGCGCCTTGGAATCCGTTGGGTGTGCTCTGCCCACGTCGAAAACCGGCGTCTCCAACACACCACTGGCCAAGCCACGGATCTGCAGGTGCATGCCTTGGCGAAGCGTCGTCGGAACTCTTTGAGCCGCAACTGCAACAACGTTCACGAAGAGCAACAACTTGTAGGTTCGGGTCGGTCAGCTTAACCATGCGAGCAGAAATTTTTAGCTTGTCCACCATGCCTGTAACGCGAAAACGTTGTGCAATAGCGGGTGCCGTCGCTTCCGCCACGTCAAGTGGCGCCGTCTACGGAGGATGAAAGACCACAGACAAGCGCGTAATGTATATTCTTTGGGACCCCAGGAGCGCCAACCGTTAAGCCTACTCAAGTATTTCTCGAAAACGGTGCCAAAACCAAGCGAGTTTAAATAATACCCTTGTCGCACGTAGTAACTTAGGTGCACTTTGAGCGAGTGTACTTACGCGCACGAAGTGTCATTTTGGCGGTTCGCTGCTACACGATAAAGTTAAGTGTGCTTTGGAAATGATGGCAGTGGCGATTGACGAATTTGTGGTACACCGTATGTTTGTTATTTTTGCGCCTCTGTCTCATGTTTGCGACCATGCTGTCTTCGTGAAAGTAGCACATGTGGCACATGCCATCTTAAATGACTAGAGAACAACTCACCTACACATGTGCAAATGTGCCTGGAAGTAAACAACGCGACGGACACAGCCATTGCTGTGCATGTGCTCTCGCATCCGCCTAGCGGACGTGGCCGCAAACAGCCCGAGGGTGAAAGCAGCATGGTTATTGTTGTTTTTATGATTGTTTTATACATAACAATATCCATCATAACAAAACAACGGTTTAAATATATTATGAGCACCACTTTAGGAAACAGCGCCTTTCTGTACAAGCCACTGGTAACGAGGCTACACACTTCATCGCAAACGTCGTAGTGAAGTGAGGTTGGGGAATGCACTTGCCGGCAAGTGCACTTTGCAGCGAGTGACACTAAACTTGCTCGTGTGACAGCACGCAAATGACACTCGCGGCTCAGTGCACTTATGTTGCTATGTGTGACAGGGGTATAAAACTTGCAGGAGTAAAGGCCGCATATACATACCAATAAAGCGCAGTGAAGCCGCGCCGCATGCGCGGCGACTATCTTGCCATAGCCAAAATACGCGAGCCAAAGCTTGCTCGACGCGTCTCACCACCGTGGTTATTAACTGCTGTGGCGGGAATTCAGAGAAAGTTGTCTAGAATAAGAAGTCAAATGGCAGGCAAGAATACAGTCAACTTTATTAAATGCAAAGCATTTCTTAGCAAACTTCGGCGACATTGAGTGCATACCTATCTGTCTATCTATCTAGCCGCCTACGACCTTTAGCTCTCCTGGCCGTTTCGATACTGGGATCGATATCAAAATTGGTAAAGCATAGCATGACTGCATCACGAGCATAAGTGAATAGTCATAACATGAAAATCATGACACATATGTCACGAACGTCATTATTTGCGTGTCATGGTCTTGATGCTCTTGCGGTGGTGTCGTTGCCATGACATATGGCAGAACTTGTATGGTATGACATGACTGCATGGCGAACATATGTGACAGACCCTAACGTGGAAATTATGACATGCATGTCATGTAAGTCATGACTACACACCACACTCATGGTACGCTCACGGTTGTTTCGCTAGCTTCATATATACTAAATTTGGTATTACGGGACGTGAAGCGATGAGGACGGTATATGACTGGTGCAAACATGATAATCATGACATGCGTGTAATGTAAGAACACGACGACATGCCACGCTCGTGATGTACTCGCGGTCATTTCGCTAGCTTCACATACACCAAATTTGGTATTACGTGATGCGAATGGACGACGAAGGTAACTGACACGCGCAAACATGATAATCATGATATTTTCACGTGCGTCCCGCGAGAAAGACGAAGACGACAGTGCATACGCGCATGTGGACGCTTTTATGCAGAACGCAACAACTACAACGACGAGGAACTCTCTGGCACGCGGTAAATAAGAAGACCGACCCGCTGCTGCTTTCTCAGCGTCTTTAAATACGACCTCTGTCTTCACGTCGCGACAATATGCGTGTCATGTAAAACATGACTACCTGCTACGCTCATAGCGCGCTCGCGGCCGTTTCGCTAGCTCAACACATATACCAAATTCGGTATCACGTGACGTGAATAGACGAAGGTAAATGACACATTCAAAAATTATCATTATGACATAGAAGTCATGTACGGAACAATTTACGCCCACCTCGTAATGTTGTGCTAATTTTATCAACCTTCCTCATTCGTGCTTCGCATATCATCGATTCCCCCTGTACGAGAAATCTGCCAATTTTCTCTTTCTTGTTTGCGTTTTGCTTGCAAGCATGCAGACCTGCTAAGGGTGTTGCTGGCTTTCAAAAAATAAGCATACTCGCGAGAGCAGGCCCCACAATCTGTGTGCTCATTTTCCTATTTATTTCGTGCATGTAACAGAATCTTATTCATATGTAGAGTTCGGCCCATTTTTTTGCATTGAATGCGAATGTGGCTGTCCCAAGCATCACATGTAAGGACATGTTCACCAAGAAAGACATGCACATCAAAGCTTTCATCGAAAGCCATTACTTTTCTCAAGACAAGCTCAATAGCTTTAGAACCAATAATTTTGTTTTGCATAGGTGTTCTTAATTAGGGGATTCATCTAGCTGTCGACACCATTTCAATACCTTCTACCTGCATGATGAGGCACGAACAGCGTGATATTCCACACGGGGACACAAAAGAGGAGACAGGCGCTCTCTGTGTTTTCTCTTTTGTGTGTAGAATATCACGCTGTCCGCACTTCATGCAAAACCAAGTAACCCAAAGGTTCACTTTATAAAGTTCTATATACAGTTTTCCGATACAATTTCGTTAACTAGGCTTTCTCTTCTCCCGCCAATGAATCAATTGAAAAACACAATTCAAGATCCAAAGTCCTCATATCTAACTATTGCAGTCGCCCACAATCTCACATGTTTTCTCATTTGTCATGGACGATCATCGTATAGTATGAGTCTCTGTGCAGCATTGGGCAAGCTTTTTCGAGACGATGACTCAGCTGTTGATGGAGTCTTTGACACTTGACACTCTCAGCTGGATTTTGCCGCCAGCGTCAGCATGGGCATCGCTGTCACTCATCGTATATGTATACGTACCTATATATTGTTACGCAAGGCGAGGTAAATTAATGGGGGGTTTTAATGGGCCCTGAGTCTGCGATCACCGTATAATGATGATCATCTCCACCGCCATGGCTCGTACCCACTCAGAGGGATCGCAGTGGAGGCAACGTTGTCTTCATTCTCTACCCGCGCTTCCCTTGTTTTTCCTGGTAGTGATACTTCTTATTGATATATTAAAATCAGTGGCGTAACTAGATAGGACGGCGCCCAGGGCAAATATATTTCCGCGCCCCTCATTATGCCCGTGATAATGTTTGTTATTATTATTATTATTATTATTATTATATTATTATATTATATAATAATAATAATAATATTAATTATAATAATAATAATAATATTAATAATATTAATAATAATAATAATAATAATATTAAATAATATTATTATTATTATTATATTATTATTATTATTAGCGCTAATGTAGGCTTCCGCGATTGCCTACTGGCGCGCGGCGGGCCATTTCGGAGGCCAAGGGCCACCAGTTCTGATTTCGATGAGCTACGCCCGCGTTTTTGTATAGTATTTTTCTTTTTTTATTCAAACTTCCGGAAGTCCCTTACCCGTCATTGTTCTCTTCCAGTCCACACTGCAAAAATCTTGACGGCACGGGCGCTTCCCAGGCCCAAGTTTCTCGTACCTAAGCTTTCGCGCTATTTGTGCATCCCAAGGAATGCAGGGTGAGTACAAAACAAAGCAACCAGCTAGACACCGCGCCCTCGGGTCTGGTATGGGGGTTAAACTGGTCGGAGTGTTCTGCCGTTTCGCTCCGTTCGCTGTTCCATTGATGGAGGTCATCCTTGTGCGGCCGCATTCTTTCAGGGAAGTTCTTGGTTTCTCCAACGTACGAAGCGGGGCAGTCGGCACATGCTGTCGGGTACACTACGCTCTGCGCTTTTTTCGCAGGTGCGTGTTCTTTGGGCCAAAGGATGAACCTGCCCATGGCGGTGGATGGCATGTGGGAAACGTTGACCCCCGCCCTTCTATTGCTTTGCTGGCGCCCGCGATGCAGGGAATCAACAAACGTCGCCGTCGTGTCACGCTTTCTCCGTCTTTCCTCCAGAGAACTCTGCGAATAAACGCCTTTGTTTAGCCTTTGGTGCCGAGGTCACGGATTATATTCGCCCTTCCTTCCGCCGCTGCGTGGACGATTAGTCGTTGGACGATCGGCTATTTCGTTGGAGTTTTCTGTTCTTACTCAAAAAAGGTGCATTCGAACTTTTTTATTTTATTTTGTTTACGTACGTGGTTGGTTTCAGGGAAGCTTTCAGTAAGTGGTTTGGGAGGCTGGTGGGGTTCGCTGAAACTCATCTAACCCAGTGCTGCGGAGCACAAAACAAAGCTTAGCCGAGGGTCATGGGAAGGCACGGAGGTAGCGCAGCAAAATGAAAATAGAGGATCCTTTTCCCGATGCAAAAGCCATTGCGGCAACCCTTTCCTTCACCACCATCCCCACTTCCAGTCGTACATTACAACCTCGCCCCTCCCCCCTTCCAGGCGGTTTTACGGAAAAAAACATTGACAACCTTTCCAGGGGGCGCCAACCCGAGGACTCGGCTTGGCGCCCCCTCCCTAGTGGCGCCCGGGGCACTTGTACCCCCTTGCCCCCCCCTAGTTACGCCACTGATTAAAATGCAAGAAAAAAATCCACAAAAAATACTCCGGCACACAGAATTTTAAACGCAGGTTTTCTGAATCGTGAGTGCGACGCGTTAACCACTGAGCTACCGCGGAGCACATCCTTCAATGCTCAAACGGCAAGCTATCTATATTGCCACTTTCATTTCCTCAAGGTTTGTTATCCCCCCATTACACCACGTTCAGCGCAAACCGCACCTATGACATTAAAGAAACTTCAAGGCTTTAATTGATCGCTTTGTTAAGATTACG